CCCCCCCCCGAGACCCCGCCTCCCACGTACGCACACACGCACAACACGCGCCCGCGCCTCCAGCCCCGGTCGCCGAGGGCCCCCACGCGTTCGCACGTACTCACGCACGCCGGGAGGCGCGGGGCGGGGTGCCTGCTGCTGAGCCGGAGGCTGCATGCCTGCCCGGTGACCCGGTCCGAGGGCCGCAGAGGCGCGCACACAAAGAGAGGCACTCCATCCCGTCGATGCACGCCCAAGAAACACGCACTCGGAGGAGAAGCGCGCCAGAACGCGGGATCGGCGGAACGAGGGGAGGCCAGCCCGAGGGGGGGGGGGGCCCCTCCTGCGCGAAGAACACCGCACGTCCTGTCACATCACCGGCCGTCGCGCCGCCCCGGCAAGCCCGAGCCGGCCTGCGTGGGGCTCTTCCCGCGGCGCGGACGAGATAGGGCCAACAGAGAGCCCGGGGATGGCCCGCGGCGGGATGGTCAGTTAAAAATGGCCCCAGGCGAGTGAAAGCCCCCTCGGCGCCTCGTGAGACCGCGGGGCGCAGCGCGTCGGACTTGGACCAGCGTCAGGGCCGGCGGGCAGGCGCGCGCTGGCGCGCGCGACCGCCAGTGTCTCACAGGAAGAACCTGCCGGGGCTCCCCCCCCCCCGCCCCCCGCCGCGCGCGCGTGGCGCAGTCGGTCCGACGCGCGCGCCAAGCCGCGCCAATGCCACCGCCACCCACACCCTGGGAAGGCCAGCGCTATAAACAACAGGCCCCGGCCGGGAAGGAGGGCACACGCGGGCCCCCCCCCCCGCACCAGCGCGAGGGGGCCAGCACACCTCTATCAAGGGGCGGGTATACCGCCGGGGCGCGGTCGAAGTAAAAACGTGCCGCCACCGCGGCCGGGCCCGGTCCCGACAGGACCCCGCTCCAGCATCGCTCATGCCTTGTGTCTCCCCCCCCCCCCCCCCCCCCCCTCTCTGATGGGACTCCGGCCTCGCCGCACGCCGGAGGGGGGCGAAGCACAACGGCCGCGCACCCGGGGCGCCTTGCACGCCGGGAAGCACCCTCGTGGCGTAAGCACACGCCCGGGCATGCGTGCGCCCGCGTACACGACTCGCTCCCCCTCGCCCGGCGAAAGGAGCCCCGCCCGCGCGTGTCAAGCGTCCATCTTCGAACCGGGCACCCGATGCGTGGTCTATCGGCCGCCCCCCCCCCCCCCCCCAGAGCTCTGTGGTGTTCTTCCAGGGCCCCGGTCGCCCAGACCCGGACCCGTGGCGCGCCTCTGCAAGGGACCTCTGTCAAGCCGTACCGCCGCCGCCGCCGCCGCCGCCGCCGCCGCCGCCGCCGCCTCCGCCGCCGCCGCCGCCGCCTCCGCCGCCGCCGCCACGACACGCTCAGGAGCGGGCGGGGGATGGACATCAAAATGGTCAATGCCTCCATCTCCCCGGCGTCCGGAGCGGAGGCACTTGTTTATATCCCCCCTGGCGGAGTCCCTCCTTCGCCTCCCCCTCGTTGTTCTTCCGGGGGGGGGGGAGAGAGCGAGAGAGGCAATGGGTGGGGGGGATTCGATGGTGCCCGCAGTGCGAGGGAAAAAATATATTAAAAACACTTCCCCCCCTCCCCCCCCCGACAAAGGGCTCCGACGCCGAGAGAGGCGGCTCCAAGCAAATGTGTGTTCGTTGGCAGAGGCCCGGCAAGATCACGAGCTGGGGCGTACTCGTAGTCGGATCCCCATGCCGCTGGGGCATGGCTGTCGCCCTGTGAGAATCACACGTGCCAAGACCCCGTGGAGGATATGTCCCCCTTAAATAGCAGTCCAATGCCGAGGAGGAACGCGGCGCAAGACACCGGCCACGATGGCTGCCGCGAGCGAGCGGCATACACGCCCAACGAAGGAAGGAGCTACACGAGTAGGCCAGCCCAGGGGCAGGGTTGACCGACCTCCTGCTTGACCGAGCCCAGAGGTCAAAAGGGGGCCTCCCTCCTGCGAACGCGAAGGGCTGGCGTGCGTCTCCATCTTCCTCGGGCTCCTGCCAAAGGTCCGAGGTCGTCAACCACTCGGCGGCCAACATGCCCCGGACTTTCCCGTTGAATGTTATTTGATACTGGTAACTGACACGGGCAGCTCGGACCGTGTGCTACGCAACTCGAAGGAGGCTTCGGTTTAGGGAGTCCGGTGGGACTCCACGGCAGCGCCAAAATTCCGCACACGATAGCCCCAGGCCTGAAGCGACAGGCTGCCCACGGAGCATCGCCCCTCCTGCCCGCGTTGAGCGGGCCACGTTTACACCCGCCAGCCCCCGCCGCACCCCCCGCGGGGGGGCCGGGCGAGAGGGAGCGGCCACCCGAGGGCCCGAGGGTCGTCCCTCTCTCTCTCTCTGTCTCTCTGTCTCTCTTTCGCTCCCTCCCCCTCCCTTCCCGGCTACCGGTGTGGCCGGCCGGACAAAACAGCGCGCTTGACGCGCCCCCCGCCGCACCACCCCCACGGAGGGCAGGGTGCTCCCTGCAGCGTGGTCAGGGCGGCGCTCGCTGATCGGCCGGATCAACCTCGCGGGAACGATCGGCTGATTGGGCGGCCTCGGCTGGCCGGCCGGCGCCCGCCGCCCGACGTCCGCACTCTTGCTCCGGGGGTGTCCCCGGCGAGGGGGGCGGGGGGCGGGGCGTGTGAATACTACACCTCCAGATCTGGCGCGGCCCCGGTGGGCGGCGTGCCATGGCGGCGGAGGGCCGCCGCTTCCGTAAGACACCGGGCCGGGCTGACGACCGCACCCGCCGGCGGGTGGAGGCCGCCCGGCGCGCCGGATTCCCGCCTCCCACTGCGGCTCTGTCTCGGGGTCCAGGGCCGAAAGCAAGACCCCTGCGGGAGGCCCGGCACCTGGTTATCGCTGCTCCTGCCGGGGGGGGGGGGGGGGGGGGGGCGCTTTTGCGCCGGATCCTTCTGGAGAGGG